CGAGGGGCCCTCCCGGAAGGCCATCGTCACCTTCCTCTCTCATGAGGGGTCGACGAGGAGGGGGTGATCGACCCCGCGCGCCGCGCCCACAAGGCCCGCCTTCACGGCCTAAGCCACCTAGGCGCGGTGCGCCTATGGCGTGCCAGTTTCCGCTATCGATTTTTTCTTGGTTATGTATATAAGGGTGCGCCTGTGATGCAGTTATCGAATTCCTATTAAGATCACGGGTGGGTTTGGGATTCATGAATCAAGCGCTTAAGAAAGTTGAATGCAAATACGATCTTTAGCCGCATCTCTCGCTTTCAAAAAGTTGCATGGGTCGCTACTAGACGAAATTTAGAACCAGCAAGAAGCATATGCTAATTGTGTGGGCTGGGAGAAGGGGATGAAAATGGAGCGTTAAATTAATAGTGATGCAAAGTCATCAACTCATGAATTGTCAAATTTCCCCATGTACAATTACTGAAAACATCATATTCTTCTTCTCCCACTGTTGAAAAATTCACATGATCTGCTATCCCTTTTAAAAATGTTTGACATTTTAAGTAGGAGAATATAATCCCTTTTTATATGATTATCACTATTTTTATTTGCTTCATCTCTTTTAAATATTTATATATTTTTTGTAGGCTTAGGCATAATAATTTTTCTATAGGAAGTGTAACCCTCTTATAAAAAAAATACAACGCAGAAGCCGGGGGCTCTCATCCATACAATAAAAAGTCCTCACTATAGGTACGTCACTAAATTATCTTCTTAATTTTGTTTGAATTGCCTTTATTTAAAGAAAATTCAGTGTTTACAAAAATGCCAGTTATCATAGATGAAAAAAACATAATCAAGTCGCTATGGTTCTCAAAAGTCGAGAGCTCTGGTGCTTCTTCCGTGGACCCACCGGTTTTGTCGAATGGCCAGCTATTGCGTCTTTCCGTACAGCAGTCCGTCGGAGCAAAGATCACCGCTTTTTCTTTTCACCCGCTGGATGAGGCTCGAGCCGTGTTCGGAACAAACACGGGCCTCCTCTACGGGATCAGTTTAAGGGAAAATAAAACGTTTTTGTTGGTCGACGCCGCGGGCTGCGGCATCCGAAGCGCCAGCTTTTGCAGTGGTCGAAGCGATGCCTCCTGCTGTGTTGTGGTGGCCGTAGAGGGGAACTTGTTATACGTGATTCACTGGAGCAGTGGACGTATAATTCAGCGCCTGTCATGCGAGACGCATCGCCGCCCGATTACTGGACTTTTTCCCGTATTAAACGCAACTCAAGCTCAGTATACGCTTTGTGTGAGCGCCGATTCGATATCGCTTTGGTCTCTACACCAAATCTCTGCTCATCCCGATGGGATTTCGGGGGATAATTGGGGCAACAATGCGATCGTGCTGCCGACGTTCGATTGCCTTGGCTTCGTGCATCCTAGCCAAAGCATGCTTCCCGGCCAAGGCCAGCCGTGCAATTCCCCTCCTCCTGCCGGTTCTTCGAATGCGCAGAAGAAATCAACGCGATTTTTATCACAAAGTCACACCGATCTCGATAGAATCGGGGCTGAACGATCGCCTTTTTTCTTCCTTTCGGCCACAAGTCTTATTTTGGATGGACGTCTTTGCTTCCTGGCGCTGGAGACAAACGGCATTTTGTCAAAGTGGAGGCTTGCCGAAAGCGAAGATGCTCATCCAATTCATGTGAAATCGGCGCCTGACGCATGCGGCGTCTTCGAGCTTGAGCGTTGCGTCGAGATGCTTCCTTTTATGCCAGGGTGTCTTGCCGCTTGCTCGCGGTTTGCGGTTTTGGGCAATAAGGGGAGCGCCACGATCGCGTTGGTGGAAGTGGAGACGCTGAATAGTTTAGGTGCCCTGGATTTGCAAACGAAAACGACCTCGGCCTCAACCTCCCAGAGTGATGCGGTGCTGCAAGTGGCAATTGTGAGCGAGACTCTTCTCTTGTGCGTATTGTTGAGCAGAAAAGTGATTGGGATTTCCGCTCCATCCTCCGATGCGGCTTCGTATCATAGATTATTTACTATCGCGCTCCCGCATCTGTTGGAGCGTCATTTCGGCAGTTCCGTAGCGTGGCGGTTTGTGGTGCCGTCGTGTGGCTTAACCATTGGCGCCTTTTTGTGCGAGTCCGAGCTTCTCTACCTTCATCTCCCCACGACCCTTGAGCATGTGAGGAAGCGGGAAAAGCTTTACGGAGGACCCAACACCCCTGTGGCGGGCTTAGATACCTTAGAAAGTGCCCCACTCGAGGGGTTTAGGGTGATTCCCTTCCTAAAAGATTTGCAGGAGGATCGAGAAGGTGGCACAACTTCGGACGTGGCGCCTCACAATCGTCAAGGCGCTCCGCTCGGGGGGGCCAGCGGGGCTTCAGCTGTGCAAATCCCCAAGGGCTTCCCGCTCGATCCGCTTCGCTTCCCGCGCCGCGCGTTAATCTTCGACGCCGCGCACACTCGTGAGAAATGGGTCGATGTTAACGCGGTGGAAAGTCGAGGCGAGGGCGGCAGCGATGCCCCAACCCAGACGATCCCCCGTGAAGGCCAGCGGGTGATGGGGCTGTTATCGCGCGCCCTCCACAGTGATAGCATGGACAACGCGACCTGCCGCTATAACATGGACAAACTCCATGGATATTTGAACAAATACGGCGTCTTCCCCGCCAAATACCGCGCGGCGATTTGGCGCTTTATCCTGGGCTTGCCCAATAAGCGCGTGACGGCCCCGCAGTTTGCCTCGCTCGCGCGGCGCCCTCAACACCCGTGCGTTTCGGTGTTTTTGAAGCCTTTCGGAATGCCCCCCGGGCGGGTTCGTTCGACCTTGGAGTGCGTCCTTTCCGTCCTCGCGCACCACGTTCCGGTCTTCGCGATCGCGTCTTTCCTGCCCTCGATGGTGTATCCTCTAATTCGCGTCTTCGAGGACGACGCGCAGTCCATTGTGGAGGTGCTTTTAACCTTTTTCCTGAACTGGGGACGGGAGTTTTTCCTTCATTATCCGCAGGCCCCGAGTCTCCTCGGGGCCTTTCTCACGAGGGGCCTCGCGAAGTGCGATGCGGCCCTCGCCGCGCATTTCGACCACATCGGCGTCGGCTTCGAGGTGTGGGGGTGGGATGCGATGTTGGGCTTTTTCACCGATTGGCTCACCGGGGCGGAGTGGCTGCAGGTGGTCGATCACGCCTTTATGATGGAGCCGATGTGGCTTTTTATGTTCCTTTTGGCCTCCCTTGTCCAACGGCGGGCGGCGTTGTTAAACGCCCGCAGCGCCCGGGAGGTTCTGGCGGCGCTTCGTCAGGCCGATCCCGCGCGATTCGACGTCGCCGCTGGGGTCGAGCGCGCGTATGAAATGCACCACGCCTGCCCGCGGGGCCCCGCACTGGTGGGAGCGTATTTCGGCTTT